AACTGTTGTGGCATTTTCCATCATGAACAATAAAACTCCCAGTGAATCAGGTATCCCACCAGGACTGTGACAAATAGCTACACAGTGGTATCTCAATTTTGAAGAAAAGAAATCCATAGGTAAGGGAATTAAGGTCTATGTTTTCCCAGAAGTTATTTAGTGCTTTCTCACTCTTTTTTGCCCCCACAAAATGCATGGTAGTCAGGGCTGAAGCTTAAACAAGAGGCAGCCCCATGTTATTTGTCTGTAGGTCATAAAGAAATTTCACAAATCAAGACTATACTAAAGACACATGAACAGCTTTTCTCCTAAATCAAGAAAATCAGAAGAGGACTTTGGAAAGTGATAGTGGCCTGAGTTGTTAGGATCTGACACAATCCCCTTTGCAAACTGAAAAGGAAGGGAACGGGAGACCCCAGTTGTTAAGCTATGGCTGCACAGGAAGCTTAATGAAGCAGCAAATGGGGTTAGATACACTGATGATGCCAAAAGCCTAATAAAAAGGGAGTCCTCCCAGAGGAGCACAAATTGTATTTCTCCTGCACCTGTGCAGAGATAGCAGCCTAGGGCATTTTGCAAAAATTTGGTTTATTTCTCCAAATCTGAGAAGGAAACACATGTTCTTGATTAGCTTCTTACTCCAATTCTTTGTGCATAACTTGGCACACTTGGCCCTTGTGAGGTCTGACACTTAGACTGGAGCTAAAGGAACTTGCCATCAGTAGCAAAAATCTCTTCATGGCCCTGTGACCAGAGCATGGTGCATAGAACTGAATTACTTCCAGCTAAGATGCACAAAGGAAACGTGACATGCTGATCTCCACACTTCCCAAGTCAGCAGTGGCCATACTATGGCTCAGTGTAAGGCTCTCTAGTTCCTCCAGATGACTGGCCCACTGCAACCATTTTTGGGAATCTTGCATTCGTCAGCTTTAGGGATGTTCTCTTGTCTGTCCCATGCCCAGAAGCAGTTTTGCTTTTGATAGTATGTTGTTTGTAAGGCAGTAATTGCTTTTGCTTGCCTGGGAAATCCAGAGAGGCTGATAGGAAGGAACTTATGAGAAAAGCACCCTGGGGACCTCTCCTGCCACATCTGAGGTAAATAGTTCATTAAATGGCAGTGATTGGTTTCAAAAAGTGCAGCTGCAGGAAGGCTTCTTGAAGAGTCACCTGCAGCCTTGCCAAGAACCTGCATTTCTGGTGAGATGGGGGTCAGACCTGACCTTTGTGGAATACCTGCCCTTGAGGGGCAGAAAGCACCGGGCATCTTAGAAGTGGGGATAATAATACTTTGTTTCTCTCTAAACCTTGTGTCATCTCTGCAAACTCTCATCCATCTACCTAGGAACTTGCCAGCCACCAAATCTCCAAGAGGAGGCTTCATGGTGAGTGCTTCTGCACCTTCACCATGTATGATCCGGCCTCCTTATCTGAGGAGTTAAACATGCAAGAGAAGGAGGCAATACTTGTCCCAGCAGCAGTAAAGACAGAGCAGATTTTCTGTGGAAAGTCACAGCTCTGTCAGCTGGGGAGTGGTGCTGTGTCAATTGATCAGCTCCACCTCCAGCTCCACTCTGCAAACTACAGATCTCTGACCTTGCAAGGTGACAGTGGGGGAGTACTAGGATCTCTGGAGGCATTGAGATCCTGTAACGGAGCCTCTGCTCTTTCAGACTGGGTGATGGACACTCTGCAGCATCTCGCCGTCTCTTGCAGGAGTGAGCTATGGAAAGCCTGAGCTTGCAGGTTAAAGGGCTGTAGGAGAAGACAAGTGTTTTCCTGCAGCCAGGAGGTTGTATTTCAGCTGGTTGATGTGCAATGTAAGAGACTTATTCTGCTTCAAATTCAACCTATCCCTATCTCAAACTTAAATCTGTCTCCCAGTGGCTGTTCCAAGGTGAAAAGGAGAGGTGGAGAAAGAAAATTTCTGCAGGAGAAAAATAGGAGCTTGTAATGTTCTGTACAAACCTTTAATGTCTGTAGGGATAAAATATTCCTTTTTGGTTTTAGACTGTAATAAAGCAATAATGATTCTATGGGGTATATGTGTGTAAAAATGGTAAAACTCCCTATTTCTCCTAATTTAAAAGCTTTCACTTCAACACCACAGTGAGGTCAAATTCCTGCTCTATCTGATAGCCTTGTGGTTCTCTGTCAGTTCAGCTCCTTCTCTTTTTCCCTGACTTTCCATCAGGTGTGATCAAAAATAAGGACAGGAAGGAAACTGTGGCTCTTAAGCATTTTTCCTAGTTTGATTTTTGTTCCCCAAAAGACACTGGCTGAGATTCCCATTCAGCTCTATCAGCAATTCTCCTGATTTCTTGTGAGAAGGACACTTTCTTCTACACTGTTGCCTGTCCTTCCTCCCTCGCCTCTTTCTTTTGAGTGCTGAGTTGGTTAGGGAATGAAAAACATTTGGCTAGCCCAAGTATTGGGGTGATCAAGTGCCAAGAGACATCTTGGCAAGCCAAAAGCTGGACTGGCTTACACCTTCCTAATGCTTTCATTTTGTATAGAAGTTGCCTCTTCTTGCTGCTTCTATAATAAAAATGCAAGCAGTTGCTCAAGAGCAATTATTACGTGCACAGCCAAGTGGTCTGTGCTGTTTGATTTAAGGAGGGGTGCTTACATTTCTTGGTGGAGAGGAATTGTTTACCTGAGTTGCGATAAAGCTATCTATTTGGTGTATTGATTTTTGATGTTCTGATACACTCTGGTTAGTCATGAACTCTGAATTTTCTCCCTGCATCTTTGAGGCTGAATTCCCTAGGAAAGCACCTAATATTTTTTCAGAGGAGACTTCAAGATACTATGTGTCAAATGTTCCTGTAATTCAACAACCAAGTCCTTCAGATCTTTGACTCTCTGCTAGAAACTGTGGAAATTCACAGTCAGTTCAGAGGTTCTTATGCATAAGTATAGAAAAGCTTTTGTTGAATTTAATATAAAAATAAATACTAGTCATCAGTGTAACTATCTTACCTTTTCATGTGATAGTAAGGCTGAGTCTTCGCACTCTGGCCTTCCTTTTGCTACAAGCGGCTTTTGAAGGCACAGTGCAGTGGAGGGTATTGCAAAGGCTTGTTTAGGCATTCTTCAAACTCTGGCAATAGTTTAATCTTTCTTCTGACTTTCTTGATTTTCTCCATAAGCTTCAAAGTTAAAAAGTATCTTTTTTTTTTTTCTCTGGAAGACTAAGTTCTTTTCCTGACCACAGTTCTGGTAGAAGGAGGCGAATTCCTGTGACGGAAAATATGAGTTGTTTTCCACAGATTGAGAGGCTCAGTTGCTGCTCCTGTTTTTCAACTTGTTTCCAATTTGTTGCTGCTTTCTTTTCCTTTTTCTTTTGGTGTACATTTATTTTTTCAGTGAGCAAAGAGCAGCCCTAAGAGTACTTTCACAAGTGGGTGGTGAGCTGTGTGGAGGAAGTGAACAGAGTTTAATCACCAAGCCTTGTAAGAGAAGCATGGGGATCTGGGAGCAAGGACTCTTTCATATAGGAGGTGACCTACAGAGAGTTCAGGAAAGAGAAACAAACAACATAAGGCTGGATGCAAGATCAGAGCTTTTTGTTCTGGAGTTGCTGAGCTATGGTGTATTTTACCACCAGAGAAAATGGCTATAGGTAATCAAAACCATGACTAAAGAAGGGATGAAGGGATGAATGATTAACTGGCA